AAAAAATGCGTTTATGAGCAATGAAAGGGAGCACTTTCGTCACCTCGCTATTCTAATCATGTGGAACAATTAAAGAGCATTAGTTGAAAACTTTAGACAGGGTAAAAATTACCTGCCAGCTCTACCCCTATGTTAAAATATGCCCCATTATAGTTTCAGTTACTCTTAAACTAACAAACTTTCCAGCTCATCATGGTTTGTAGTGTAAATGCTAGTCTGTTCACGTTATACAAGAGAGGTCAGGGGTTTGTATCCCAACTGAGAGATTGAATTTTATCAAATATTTTTTTGAAAGTGGATAACTATTTAGCATATTTTATTCAATTTATAAGTTATTTTTCAATTTAAATTTTTTTTTTCAAAACTTAAAATTTATAAGAACGAAAAAAAATGATTCGACGTTTAATATTTTTAATTAAAACACATGGATTATTTTTAAAAATTTTTTTTTTGAAATAAATATGTTTTAATTACTAAATTTCTTTAATTTATAATAAATTTAAGTTTTCATTAAACTTAATTAATAAATTTAAACAAAACTATATTATAAGGCTTGTTTAAAAAAGATAAAAAGGACTATTTATTACTTAACTATAATCCATCGAATTTCAAATAATCAGAAAGCATTCGAAATAAATTTTATATTTTTAATCGAATGATTTTCCAGTTATGCAATAAATAGTTTTTCTTTTTTTTTTAACTAGTCCAACATACTTTTGCTCACATTTTCATAATTGAATTTAATAATAAATTTAATTATTTATAATGAAATTAAAAAAATTCAGTTGGTTTATCAAAAAATTTTAAATGACACTTTTTTTAAAAAAAATAATCCGTATATTTTGATAAAAAAGAATAAAAAATTAAATACTTAGTTTATTGTTTCTGAAATTTTAAATTTTTTTAAAATTAATTTAAGTTACAATATAATATAAACTGAATAAAATATACCAAATAGTTCTTAGAACAGAAATTTAGAGAAAAAAAATCAAATGCCCCATCTGAAATTTGAATCCCCTCCCCCACAACTTCTCCGGCACAAAGCGGATAGCCTAACCATTAAATTACAAATCCACACATTGTTAGTTTAAATGAACTGAGACCTTAATGTGACTTATTTAACCCCCAGGGACTGAACCGACAGTTAGCTTTTACCCTATAAAATGCCTTCAACCATACTTTTGAATTTAAGATAAATTTTATTTTAATAGAATTTGTACGGATGTGTACTTCATGTATGAGTGAAAAAAAAGGCAAGCAGCATTTACATGAATTTAGTAAAATCAACTTAGAACAATATAGCATAAGTAGGATTACATTGGAAATCATTTTTGGAAACCATCTTTACACTAAAAAAATTATGCTTTTTCAAAATATAACCCTGTATATTCAAATCTTCTTTCTCTAAACTATTGCTAATATAAATTTCAAAATTTTACCTGGGTTGCCACTCAAATCAGGGAAAAAATTTCCCTGTACTTATTGCAGGGTGCGTAGCCGAATCTCCCATAAAAAAATAAGCATCTTTGAAGCACTTTTTAAGCACTCAAAAAGTACTTTTAATCACTAAACACATTAACAAAATGCAAAATAATTTTCAAAGACTTTACATGATCTGATAAAATAGCCAATTTCTGACAAAGAACTCTTTTCTTGATTATATTAGCCATTTTAAAATGATAAAAAGATTTTTTCAGCTCGATATCAGAGGTCAGAAAATGAAGCTAGAAATTGAGAACATCTTGAGAAAATGCAGCCGAGTTGCAAGAATCTCATTTAATCCAACTCAGTAGAGGCACATGCAGACACCCCAAGTACTTCATATGTCACCATGATTAATGCTGTGCCGAATTAATTTGCAAAAGGCGCTTTGGCGCACATTCCAATATCGAAAGTGCGAAGTAAGCAGCTACCGGCTGCCTCCCTAAGATTTTTGTTTTGTAATACAGTAGTTGTAGTCGTGATTGTGATGTGAAAGGATTGCCTACGGTCTTCCGCAGCTTGTGTTAACTTACCTTCGTTATGTAATAAAATGTTATTATTATTATAGCTCATCGTAGTTCTTGAACAATTCGTCGTAATCGTGCACAGATGCTATCATACGCTACGGACAAACAGCACGCCGAAATGAATTGTGGTTGAATGAATTGTGAAAACATTCAACGTGGTAAAGAAGAAAAAAAATCTTCGAAAAGGGAAAATTAAGCACTTTTTAAAATTACCTCATGAAAAAAGTAGTTTTAATTGCTTTTTAAAAACGAACATCGTAAATAAGCACCTTTAAGCATTTTTTAAAAACGCTACGCACTATGCAGTATACAGTATATATTTAAAGGAAACAATTACTGTGCTCTTGTGTGAGTTTCATTAGGCTAACTATGCTAGTTTTAATTGCTGGAAAAACTTGGAGGAAAAAAAGGAACAGCTGAACATATTTAAATAATGCTATAGTAAATGAAATACTTGAGTATAGTTGGAATATCATCCTATCCCATAGATTGCATTGAGTGGTCACCATTATGCATTGAGTGGTCACCATTTTTTCAGAGACAAAAAGAAACTAATTTCCCTGTATTTTCCAAAATTGTAAAGAAAAAACAATCAAAATTCCCTGTTATTTCAGGTGATTTCCCCTGTATTTCCCCTGTGGAGTGACAACCCTGGATAATTAGAAAACTGTACGTGTACATATTTTCTATTTAGAAACCATCTCTGGCATAGTTGATTTTAGACTATAAAATTAAGCTTTTTCAAAACATTACTTCATACCTACTTTCACTAAATTATTGTAAATAAAAATTTCAAAGCTTTATTTATAAATTTAATAAGCAAAACAGATGTACCATTCAAGATGAATTGGGAGTCCTTTTTGTTTCTGATTTAGGATATTTAAATAGTAGGTTGCTCTCACTTCATCATCACAATCCTGGAAGCTCCTCTGCAGAAGGACTAAAATATTTGGGAGAAGCTCTTCACAGTGAGCGCCAAACTTAGCCAAAGAATTCACAGCAGCTGCAAAATAAATGTATGTACATTCAAAACAATGATCAATCACATGAATGTAATACATACCCGCCAACATTGAAGAAGTAAAATAACAGAGATTTTACTAGCGACATTTATTAGGCTACGAGTAAAGTTTTGATACATCATGCATAATCATGTAAGTCAAAAAGAGAAATTCAAAATTAGAAATAATATAAGCACTTACATGTAGCAAAATGATATGTATATAAATCTTAATCTAAAGAAGATTTTTTTATACCATTATTTATAAACTATTTTATAAACGTTGTTAAACAGACAACCCTATTTTGGGTTTACGGCTACTAATGTTCAACTCTGTCACCATGTCATTTTGAACCCAATCCAGAAGACAGGGGAACTCCTGGATTAATTAAGTACTGGGCAAAATTTGCCTCCTTGGAGGATTTTTTGAAGGAACTAACCCGCATTTACATTACATAAAGAGAAAACCACGAAAATGTCCCACAGTTAGCCTGACTGCAAGGAGTACTTAAACTATTAACACTCAACATACTGAAGTGCTAGCAATAGCACTATCTGTTGAGGAATAAGAGAAGTATTTTTGCCATCAGCGGGTATTTTATTGGAATTTTTTTTAAAAATAACTTTCCTCAAAAAATACAGCGAAATTTTAGAATGTATGGGTTAACAGGAGATAGTCGTAAAATACAAGAGTCTTCGTTAAGGAACAGGACACTTGGCAGGTTTTGTAATAATAAAATTCGAAAATATCGTTTTGCTTCCCAAAAGTGCAGTGAGAACGAAAAATACAATTATTAAATAAGGTTGTTAAAATTTTTTTCATCTCAAAAAGTTTATAAAAGTAATTTTATGTTAAAGTTATAAATATTATTATGCCTTAAAGATATGGAATATCTCAACCTGGTTACAATGCTATGTACTTATAAATCAATCGAATTCTTGAATATTTCTTTTCTTCTCAAAATTATGTGCCATGTAAATAAATGTCTTCATTGCTCCATTTTGTTTCTCAATATTGCCATATTTGCGGGAACAAAATTTCGGGAAACATGTTTACGTAAGATATGAACGGTCCCACTTAAAATTTTTCTTAAAATTTAAAATAAAACTGTTTTCAGTTTTAGAACTAGATATTTTTACTTTAATTGTTAATATTTCGTGATAGTTCAAATTTCTCATTTCATGTAAAAATTTGTCAAAAGTTTCATAATTCTACTATCACTATTTTTTTCGTACAACTCAGGACTAATTTTAAATGATAATAAAACGTTTCGTAAAATTTTGAAAGCAAATAACACATTAAAAACTTAGCAAGCTATTTCTGTTTGATATAGTAAAATTCGTTAAAACAGTTCGAGATATAGCGTACAAATCAGCAAGTAAAATTAATAATAAGGGGCTCAAAATTTTGAGGGCTTCCCTGCGCAAATGATATAAACCACATATCCCAGATACTGACTACCCTCTATACAGAATACAAATCCGTCGAAAAAAAGGGCATGTTTTTTCAGTAAAAGTATATTTTGGGATCTGATTTCGTAACTTAAGGTATATTCTGCACTGATTTAATACCGTATTTGAGGTAACTCCCTTGAACCATTAAGATTGAGTTTTAGAAAGTGAAGATTTGATTAGATCAGAAGTTATTCCTGGTGGTATGTTATTTTTAAGAATAATTTATCTTAGAATTCTGAATTTTTCATGATAGTTTAACAAAAGTACAAAAATGATTTAAGTGCAAATATTTTTGAGATACATCGATTTTTTATAAATTAATTTTCCTTAGATTTAAATGGGTTACGGTAGTTTTGCTGTAACTTAAGATTTTTTCTTATACTTGGGTTAAATTGCTCAGGATAAAACAAGTTATAACACGTATTTTTTTTCTCAAAAAATCGCAACTTTTGGAAGGAAAAATCCTTGAGATCCCTCAAGGGTGCATGATAGATATGTGGTCAACAAAAGGTGCATTATTTTGAAGAACATGCAGGAATTTTAAGAATAACAGTAGAATTTCTTAGTTATGCCGAAGATAACTTAAGCAGTGGTCGCACACGCACTGCTTCATATTTTAAACGAGTTCCTATAGCGGGTTACGTTTTAAGGCGAAATTCAACTCTGCATTTCTCTATTTCACAGTTAAGCCAAAAATATATTTTACTGAAAATTATTTGGAAGATAGGTTTCACGGATTTTTTTGGTGGTATAACGGTTTCTTACAGTAAACATAAATTTGACGGCAGACAGTGTTGTTAGTTGAATGGTTTATGGTGATTCAGATTTTAAGAAGATAAGTTGGTTAGAACTTAATTTAACCATAACTCTTTTTGAGGGGTATGCTAACAATCATCTAATGAGAAATCGAATTTTGAAAAAGTCATATTTTTAAAATTCAATTTTTCAATAACTATTCGACCAATTTTGCTCAAAATCTTATTTTGCGAAAAAAATTACATCCTTTAAAGTGGTGTAAAAAATTATATACTTCACAATTCAAAACGTTTCAGACTTATGTTAAATAAATTAATACAAAATTATAAATATTAACAAAACGTTATTTTCTTAATTGATGGAACTGTACACGAGTTGTACACGAAATGCGGCGAAATACGCAAAAAAGTAAAATTAACATTAAGGGGTCCAAATTGTACCGTTCTCCTGATCAAAATATTAAGACCATATTTCTCAGGTTGTTGCCACTACATATATTTTGGGGACAGAAATCAAAATACGTATAAAAAAGAGGTATGTTTATTAAGAGAATACGTTTTTCTGTCTGATTTCGTAACTCAAAATCATCTGCACTAATAAATTAGCACATTTGAGGTCACCCCTCGAACCATTAAGATTGGGTCCTAGAACGTGAAGATCCGATCATTAAATGAAAAGTTATTCAGAATGGTTCGTTTTCTTTATTGCCAACCTAAAATATCTCACAGAAGGAATTTGACCTATGAACAAAAAACAGTTATTTAAGATGTCCCCTCTAGCCTCATCTTCAACACTAACTCTTCTCTCCTTTACTAATTTGTCATACAAGGTTCCCAGAAGGATCCCGGATATAAAGGATCCAAACTTACGAGACCATCGGCATGAAGCTGCCTTAACTTCCCAGGTAAGTCGGTAAGAATCCATTTGAAAATGGTGAGCTCCGACTAGACAACCGGGATTGTACCTTAATTCTTTAAAATGATATCTCAGTGCCTTAGCCACTTGGACATCTTGACTTAAAAAAATAAACATTTCAGCAAGTTGGCTAATTGAAAAGTTTGGTGCGCAATAATAGGCAAATCCTATCCTCATATAGGGCTAACTCTGAGTTTAATTTTGTTTTAAAAATCTTAGATTTTTAAAAAGTTCAGTAAAAACTGACGAACTTTTGTTTCATGGTCAAAAATTGGCTAAGCTATGTCTAATTTCAAATTTTTTTTGGTGGATTGCTTGGGGTAACAAAATTTTTACAGGAAAATAATATTTTGAGGCCAAAACCAATATTGCGGTTTCAATCATTTCATCGAGTCAAAAATCATTTAAAACTTGCTTTGGCTATTTTTTAAAGATAATTTGATAATTTTTTAATGTTCTTTGGTGATTGTGATCTGGAACGGCTGATTTCTAGATTATAAAATATATAAAACTTATTTTGGAAAGCGTTCTGTATTTATGCTAATAATCTAATGAATCTTGACAATGAGCGACGATTGTGATTCTGGGGAAATATCTAGGAGGATAATTGCTTACTATTAGAGGCTAACTTTAAACGCGAAATTCAAATTTGAGATTTCCGGGACAAAAATTATTTATAGTTTGTTTTTGCCGTGCCATAATTTTTTTTTGTCGAATGGGCTGACAAGAACATATTTTGGATTAGAATTCACAAATAACTTCTTACCATGTACTCGCGTTCTGAAAAAAAATGATCTTGTTTCTATTTGAAAATATAGTTAAAATTTATTAATACAAAACTTTTTTTTAACAAATTCGATAACGAATAACTTATTTTACTTTATTTTATAACCGTCGTTGAACAGCTGATCCAGTTTTCGGGTTCGCGACTACTAATGTTCAACTTCATAGCAACTTAATTTTGAACCCAATCCAGAAGACAAGGGAACTCCTGGATCAAGTATTACGAAAAAATGCCTTCGTGGAGGCCTTTTTGATGGAACTAAATCGCATTTGCGTTACATGGAGAGGAAGACCACGAGAACCTCCAGCGGTTAGCCTGACGGTAGAGGGACTCTAACCCATGATCCTTCTACCACTGAGGATATTTCACGTCAGCACTGTGGTCTGCGCAATCCGAATGCGGATTCGTATCGACTAGCCATCGGGGGATTCGAACCCGGTTCTCCTCATTGTAAAAGCCCCTAAGCCATGACGACTTAATGAATATCTTATCCAATTTACATTGTCCTACAATGGACTTGTATTTGAATGTAAAATCTATATTTGTAGTTTTTTATTCAAAAACAAGAAGAAAAAACGTTAAACCTTTTATATAAATATAATATGCAACATGTAATATTATTATTATTATATCTGCGATGTTAACGAAAGTACCGATTTTCTAAATTAGGCTAAAACTGAGATATTAAATTTAAACTTAGCAGGTGGCAAAGATGAATTTATAAATTTCTCCGGAGGCTACGAATACATTGATTTAGACTAATCTGTGCCGCTATGAGGTCCGAGAAGGACTTATTGTTTGATATATGTTTTATTTTTTCGAGTCCTTCTTTAGGTTACTGAGTGAATTTGGACGGAGAGTAGCTAAAACTTGTTTAGGACATTGTTTTTAGCAGTCAAGCAAACCGATATTTCTGATGCGCTATGGGGGGAAGCAAACGATATTCTACAATCTTTACAGTAGTTTGAACCATATTTTATAAATTTTCAAAAAAAAATTTTATGAAAATTCTTATGTTCTCTAGTAATTAGTATGCACTTTTCATTAACTTAACGAAGTGGTATTTTGAAAATATTAATTAGAATATATTTCTCAAATATTTTATGGGTTATTCTTATATATTTTATGGGTCTGCAGGAAACATTCTAAAATCGACGTAATTTTCTCAAATGGAATGAATAAATAAATACAAAAAAGATTGCGCTCTTCAAAATCAATGTTTATTGGAGAAGTAGTTTAAGAGAAAATGCTTCTTGAGTGTAGAAATTTAAC